GGAAACGAACTTTACAACTTTGCAGGGGGGATTGGAGAGAGGAGAGAGGAGTTGGGGTGGTGGAGAGGAAAGGGAAAGGGATGGCAGGGAAAAATAAAGGCGGGTGTAACAATGCTTAATAGGAAATGGACTTGTTATGCCAAGGTCGCAGGACCCCCACCAAGAAGACCACTGAGAGTCAGACTCTACAGCTATTTTATTTAAACGGGGTGCAGCTCGGGCCTCATCCTACACTCTGACACAGTGGAGCCCAGGAGGAGAGCCCTGAGCTAAGGATTTGCAGGTCTTATAAAGGCACACAATCAACCAGGTGTTTGGATTACCACCACGTGTTACTCTGCTAGACAGAAACAAGCAACAAGTGGTCACTGCCTCAAAACTTTAACCTTTCAGACTCATTACCTTGCTCATGTAACTGTGACCCCTCTGTACAGTATCTTTGCAATAAAAAATATATATTAAGGGAAAAAAAGAAAACTTACATTCATCAGATTTGAGGACATCAAGTGGGTCTCCAGAATTTTTTTACATCATGGAGCAGTGAACCTGAAAGATTTCTGGAAGGGTCATTGAGGCCAGATCCAGGAGTCTAACCCTAAGTTTCAGTTCCATGTTTTTAAAATCTTAAACAAGATTCAAACTGTTTCTACATTGCAGCATAGCTTACACTTGACACTTGCTATCAATTAAAGAAATGTATCTAGATTGAAAATTCCTTACAGTAGAACTAGATGAACACCCTCAAAGGGAGTCATTCATTTACCAGCAACTATAAGAATTCATTCCATCTTCCACTTCTCTTTTATGTGCTGAAGAACACAGTAACATTTAAAATCATCTTCCAGTTGCCTTCATTTTAATGCTGAATTTGAGACTAAGTTGGTCCAGCATCACATGAGTGACCTGAAACAAAAACAAAACTAGAACATGGCTGCTTCATTGCCTTAGGCTGTACCCTGTAAAATAAAAATACCACCTTCCACTGTCTGCTTCTATTTGACTTTGGCAAGTCAAAAAAGCACTGTGGATAATATTTGACAGGACTGGGGGAAGGGATATGTTGGATGTATTGCAGAGAAAAGATAGCTAGCTTGTTTCATCTGCCTTCTGGGAATAACTTTTATCAAGCTAGTCTCTGAAAAATCTTTCTCCTTTCACTGAAAGGGGCGATTTATAATGTGGAAATGACAACAGGAATTATTGTCCGTCTATCCTCTCTGCCTCTCTGCGGGAAAGCTAATTTCCCCCTCGCCTGTGTTATAAAGTGAATTATCCAAGAAGCCATATTTTGAAGGATGGAATATTGGGGTCTTTATTACAACACTAGCAGTCTGCGGGATGTCCATTGTAATGAAAGCCTGCAGCCCCCTAACACAGTTAGGAAACAGGCCAGAGAGGAAAGAGAGAACAAAAGCAACACTAACAAACCAATTCAGCTCGGATGGAAAGCTGAATTAGGATGCTATGATGACCAGAGATGAGCCAGGAGACAGGACACAGGACATGATCAAGGAGATACACGTGGTATGGTGTCCTGGCTGCTAGGCTGCTCTGGGCCTAAATAAGTCAGGGCAGGGGGCAGGTCCACAGGAAATTCCCAGACCTAGGCACTGGACTGACAGATCCAGTAACCTATCAGACAAGTGCCCGCCCCTGCCTCCAGGGATCTGAGCATGCCCATCACCTGGGAAGCAGGGCATTTCCTTCCCCCAACATGAAGACAAGAGGCCAGACCCTACCAACCAGCGCTGGCTAGGCCTGACCTCTTTACTTCATTGCCCTTTTTTTATGGACATGAAATCACACCATTGATTTTTCTATAAGTGGGCCAGTTTTTGCCTGGGCTGTTCTATCTGTTGTAAGGTGAATTATCCCAGAGGCCACATTTTGGTAGATGGAATTTTGGAGTCTTTATTACACGTTAGCAGTCTGCACACAGCCAGTTGTTACAAAGGTCTGCAGCCGCCAGATACACTTAACACGGTTAAGAGAAAAAGAAAGAACCAAAAGAATACCAATAAACCAATTCAGCTCCTATGGAGAGCTGAATTGGAATACCATGACCACCAGAAATGACGTGGGAGACAGGTCACGGAGACACACATGGCATGGTGTCCCGGAGCCTATTCTCCAGGCCTAAATGGGGTCTGTGCAGGGGTCAAGGTCACAGGACACTTCCAGTCCCAGACACTGGACTGACAGGTTCAGTAACCCGTCAGCCAAGTGCCCACCCCTGTCTCCAGGGATCCAGGTATGGCTATCGCCTGAGGGGGGATGGACATCACCCTCCCCCACCATGAAAACAAGATGACATCTGCATTTCTCTGAAGCAGAGTCCTCCTAGCCCACCTTACTTCACCTGCTGGAGTAAAGTTGGAACCCATTTCTTCCATGTCCACAGGTTGGAACAAGGTTGAAACCATCATTTAATTAGTCCCTGTGAACACAGTTTGGTCTCTCAAGAAAGTAACTTCTACTCTGCCTCTTAAATTCATCCAATATAGACTATCTAGAGAGAAATCCCTCCAACTGTCTGGAAGAAAGGGGAGTTAGGATTTTTCAGGGTCTGATATCAAAGGGTCAGTGTTTTTAGGGAAATTGCTGAACAATGAATCAAGAGCACCAATTGTGCTAAAAGAGCAAAGGGATCAGAGTCAAAACCACTTCAATTGGAATCATGGTGCTATATTTCCATCTTTCAGCAAGTATTTATGCAAGCCACAGCAAATGTAAGGCAGCGGCTTGCTAAATGGCATGCCTGTTGTGGTGAATAAGATCAAGTTGGTTCCTAGCATCACAGATCATGTGTTCTAAAATTAGCAGTATCCACCTCCTAAAAACAAAAAAATGAAGAGGCTGGTCACTTGTGGATCATGCCTGTAATTCTACCTAACCTATTCCAGAGGCTGAGATCTGAGGATAACTGTTCAAGGCCAACCTGAAGTATACCTCAGGAGCTAGAGCAGCAGTTAAGAAAATTAACTGAATGAACATAAGTTTGAACTGAAAGTTCAAACCCCAGAACTGAAAAAAAAATAAATTTTAATATGGGAAACTAGAGACATGTACTCGGAGAGTAAATGTTAAAAGTATAAAGAAAACAAAAGTTTTCTAGTAAAAGAAAAGAAATGAAGAAGAGATGGGCTAGATCTTGGAAGGACAATCATCTGTTTCTTGGCCTGGTTTGTGGCTATCTTGGTATCCCTATTTACAATTCAAACATATTTATTTTGTCTTTATTATTAATTGAAAAATAATTGTATAAATACTTGTGGGATACAAAATTATCTGAAATATATTTAAAGTTTCTTCTTGACTTATAATGGGATTACACCTAAAAACCCATCATAAATTGAAAATACTGTAAGTCAAAATGTACTTTAACACCTAGTCAAATGAACACTATGACTCTGAGTAGCCTAGCTTACACATGCTTAGAACATGTATAATAGCTGGATTTTCTAACAAAAATTCTGTTTTAAAATAAGGCATTTAGGGGCTGGGAAGGTGGCTCAGTGGTAGAGTGCTTGTCTTGCATGCATGAGGCCCTGGGTTCAATTCCTCAGCACCACATAAACAGAAAAAGCCAGAAGTGACTCTGTGGCTCAAGTGATAGAGCACTAGCCTTGAGCTGAAGAGCTGAGGGGCAGCACCCAGGCCCAGAGTTCAGGCCCCACGACCGACAAAAAACAAAAACAAAACAGAACCAAAAAATAAGGCATTTAATACCTTGTGTATATGTAGAGATGGGCATTGTGTGGCCATTGTAGAATATGAAATCACAAAACAATTTCCAACTACACTGGCAGCACCGTAGACTTTAGAATATCAGTTGTTTACCATCATGATCACATGACTGACCAGGAGCTGAAATTTCTATTTCCATTTAGCATCAAAAATACTATCCTAGTGCATATCATTAGCCCACGGAAAGATTGAAATCCAGAACTTGAAGTATGGCTTCTACTAAATACAAATCACTTTTGGGTCCATGTAGACAAATGCCTACAAATTGAGCTATCAAAAGCTTTGGAATGTGGTGCCTTCTCTTCCAATTTTCTTGACATTTTTGTTATCATTTTTAATTTCTCCTTTGACCCATTAGTTGTCCAAGATGATGTTATGTAATTTCTATATAATTGTACATTTTCCAATGGTCCCTTTGAATGTTAATGAACTAAATTTTCCAATCAAAGAGCATTAAATGTCAGAGTGATTTAAAAAGACTCAACTGTGTGCTCATTTCACCTTTAAAGACACACTTGTGATGGAATAGAAAAAGACATCCCAGGCTTGTGGGACCTAATAACTATTCCTTAAGTCAATGCCTATAAAAAGACACAAAGAAGACTATTATATTGTGAAAGAAATGTCAACAAGAGGTTGCAATTACAAATATGCATGCAACCAAAATTGAAATTCTTAACTATATAAAGCAAATACTAATAGATATGAAAGGAGATATAAACCATAAGTATTAGTAAGGGAACTTCTCCATCAGCAAATATGGACAGATTATTTTGGCAGAAAATCAATGAATCCAATCCCTGCCTCAAATTATTCTATGAATCAGACCTACACAGAGTATTCCATGCAACTGCACAGAATATACATTCTTCTTAAGCAAAGTCATAATTTTTCTTCAGCGAAGATCATTAGGCTGCAAAGCAAATCTTGGCAAATATAAGATTAGAGTCATATAGAGCATTTTTTTCTAGCCACAATGATATACAATGAAAAATCAATAGCAAGAATCTTGACAAATGTCCTGGTTTTAATAGTTTAGTTAAGCTATTACAAAGAAGGTGAAGTTTTATATAATAATTTTTCTGGTTAACAATTTAGGGAGTGAATAGATCATGCATAAATTCACATATTCATAGCAGTTTCATTCTGGATTTTTAACAGTCTCTGTTTCATTGAGACCATATGAATTCTCCCTGAGAATGATTCATTATTTCCTTCCCTACCATAAACTGTGTCCTCCTTCCAGAGATTGCTCATTTTCTCCAGAAATTCTTCATGGCATTTTTCACCTCTGCGTTCCTCAAGGTATAAATCAGGGGGTTAAACATGGGCGTCAAAATACAATAAAACACAGCCACTATTTTATCTATGGGCAGAGTAGACGACGGCCTCATGTAAATGAATATGCAGGGCACAAAGAACAAGGCGACCACAGTGAAGTGGGCCCCGCAGGTCGACAGGGCCTTGCGCCTCCCCTCTGCGCTGTGGGACCTCAAAGACCTCAGGATGACTATGTACGATGCCGCCAGCATGAGGAAGTTCACCAGGCAGATCACACCGCTGTTGGCAACCACCAGCAGACCAATGACATAGGTGTCCGTGCAGGCGAGCTCCAGCAAAGGGTACAAGTCACACACGAAGTGATCAATCACACTGGGCCCACAGAAGGGCAGCTGAAGGACCAGGAGGAGCTGGATCAATGAATGCAGGAAGCCCCCCAGCCAAGCCACGCCCACCAGCATGGCACAAAGATGTCTGGTCATGATGGTGGTGTAGTGCAGGGGCTTACAGATGGCCACGTAGCGGTCATAGGCCATCACCGTGAGCAGAATGATCTCAGTTCCTCCCAATAAATGAGCAACAAAGAACTGGGCCAAGCAGCTCTCGAACGAGATGGCCCTACCCTCATACAAGGAGTCAGTGATGAGTTTGGGAGTCATACAGGAAGAATAGCAAGTATCAATAAAGGACAAAACAGAGAGGAAAAAGTACATGGGGGAACCGAGAGTGGGGCTGAAGATAATAGTGATCATGATGAGTAGGTTGCCTACAACAGAGACCAGGTAGACAACCAAAAATAACACAAATAAAACTCTCTGCACCTCAGGATTTTGTGAAAGTCCCAGCAGAAAAAATTCTGTGATGTTTCGTGGAATGTCCATGAATCATAAGCTGCAGAAAGAGATTTAAAAAAAAAAACAAAGGTTTGTTACTGCCTCTTTCAAAACCTTCCAAGAAGTTGGGAGCCATCAGTATTTATGGAATATAATTAATCCAAATCCTGGATACAAAAGAACCTGCTAATCTTGCAAATCACATTCTAAGGTAATCACTAGTTATTTTAATTAAGCACAGAGGTAATAAAAGACAAAATAAATAACTCAAAATAATGTATTTCTTGATTGTTGACAATTATTTTCATAATAATCCTTTGTTTTCAAATAGAAAATTTCCTCATGGAGTTTTTGCAATGGTATTCAATAGAATAGTGCAATGACTATGCTTTATAATTTTTATATATAGAAGATAATAAATGTGTATCTAGAGAAGAAGAGCTTAAGGATTCCAAATTTCAAGAAATTAAAAAAACAAAATGCTAACTGCTCCAATTTGACTAGTGCATGCTTGTATTGATATGTACTATTATTATATATGCCAATCAAAAAGATTCAGAACAACTTAGAAATTTTTTTAAAACTCACTATACCACATAAGTATATATAAGTATTATTTATCAACTTAAAAGCATATTCATTTATTTTTATTAGTTTTTTCATTAAGAATAACCATTTATAGCCTGGGTGTGGTAGCTCATGCCTATGATCCAGATATGCAAGGGGCATAGATAGAAAGATTATGATCCAAAGCCAGATGGGGAAATAGCATAACACTATATCTGAAAAGTCACTATAGCAAAAAGTATTGGAGGAATAGCTCAAATGGTAAAGAGCTTGCCTAGCAAGCACAAGACCCTGAGTTCAAATCCCAGTTCCACCAAAAACAAATATTTAAATAACAAGTGAGAGAAAAATACCTTCCTTAATGTTTTCCATGATTTCTTTTTTTTCCAGTCATGGGGCTTAAACTCTGGGCCTGGGCATTGTCCTGTAGCTCTTTTCTCAAGGTTAGCACTCTACCACTTGAGCCACAGCACCACTTCCAGTTTTCTGGTGATTTTATTGGAGATAAGAGTTTCATGGACTTTCCTACCCAAACTGGCTTTGAACAGTGATCCTCAGAACTCAGCCTCCTGAGTAGTGATTACAGGCATGAGCCACCAGTGCCCTGCCCATGATTTCTGTTTTAGAGCAATACTTCTAACTCCCAACTGTACTTCTCAATGCAAATAGAAGTCTCCACAAAACAGAACCCCTCATCTCACACTAGCTCATTTCTTTTTTTTAATTTATTGTGAAAATACTGTACAGAGGGGTTACAATTACATAGGCAAGATAATGAGTATATTTCTTATCAAGCATTGTAGCCTCCTCCTTTGTTTCTCTTTCAAAAGTTCCTCCATGCTCTACCAAAAGCATGAAAGTCACATTTCCCCTTACTAGTCCATCTCATAATGCCAAAACTGGTAACCACATCCTATAAAATTCTACTATTTCACATTCGTCCACCCACACCTTTGTTTTCATTTGTTTTGAATTAGTCTAAACATTCTGAACACCTTTTTCAAGCACAGACCATGCTTCAACCACTCTTCTCAGAACTAGACATAGGTCCATTATCAAAATAAGCTTATTGTCCAACAGTATCAGAATTGAATTCTTCTACCTTGACTCTCACTCAAACACCCATTCAATCATCCACATGTCAGTCACTGTGATTTTTAAAAAATCTACTTCCTTGTATTCAGTCATCCACTTATGTCACACCCGGTTTGAAACAGTCAAATGTCTCTCTTTACCTTCAGGATAAAGTCTAAGCATGTTAGTCTAGCGTTACAAGGAAGCTGCTGACGTATCCCTCTTGTTCTTCAGCTCCCCCACCTCACATCTGCTGTCCCTGATCAAGCCGTACTCACAGTTGTAGCTTTCTATGTGCTATTCTTCTGTTCTTACACAAAGCGGGGCTGAGGTATCATTCATTTCTGGAAGAAACATGATCTCTTTCCCTATTCCAAGACTTTCAACTATATTCCTAAAGCTCTCAGATCGCATCCCCACACTACACTGAGTTGTTTAGCTCTGTTTATACCTTCCTCAGACTTGGAGTATCTTGAGAGCAGGGCTTCTGTGTGTTTAGAATCCACATTGCCAGTCCTTAGGCAGTGCGTGATGAAATGGACACTGAATAAAATCCATATACAAAGCGAAGAAAAGGGTGACATTGTCCAAGAAGAATCAAACTCATTACTTGACATATGGAATTGTAACCCCTCTGTATAATTCCTTAATAATAATGATAAAAAAACCATATTTTAAAAGAAATAAAGGATAGAAAACATAATAACTAAATCTAGAGGAGTTGATCGTTTCTTACCAGAATTTTTATTGCACTATGACAGGGCAGGCTGATAGGAACAACAGAATTCTTGGTAAGTAAGTCATCTGGACCATTCTTCTACTCACTTGATCTCCCTCTCCTTTCAATGATATGTAGATAGGATTAAAGAAAATTCCTATAGGAAGAAAAATTATAATGAGAAGGTGCCATTTTATAATCTCCACTCTGACTTGGAAATCTATTACAGTCTAAGTGTCCTGGGTTCAAAATCTAAATAAGGCATCTCATCCATTTGGGGGCTACAGGAGACCCTTGAATTATCATTTCTAGTTTTCTTTTCCAAAAATCCACTTGATAAAATGAAGTGAAGTAATTCAGACCCCAAGAGACAAAGGGTGAATAAATGTTTTCTCTTATATGTAGAAGGTAGATCTAATCTATAAAATAGAAGTAAACACATACAGCATTATATGCAAGTATACATACACATTAACCCAAGTATGGTATATGCAGTGGAGAATTCAAAAGTGTAATTCCCTAAAGAAACTAACTCACAGATCAACAAAATGAATACCAAGAAGCTGGTACTTGAGAAGTCAGATGAAGAGGCCCAAGGGAGGAAGCAGACAAAAGGAGAGAGGAAATGGGAGATTCAGTTATAACATTCAAAATGTATCTTATGAAGCGTGGAAAATTGAGAGAAGGGTTAAGGTCAGGAAGGAGCATGGAGGATGATAAAAGGGGTAATACTGATCAAGGTTACATTGTACTTATAAACTGGCATGTTGGATGGTAACCCCCTTGTACAACTACTTAAAGATAACTTTAAAAAGAGTTAGCATAGACCCCACAAGTGAAGGGCTCAGTCCCATGACTGTTCCCAACTTCAACTCCAGCAGTGATTGAGCTGCCAGGCTCCTCAAACATCTGTCCAAATGGCCTGAGTGTCCCCTAAGACATTTTGATTGGGGTTTTCATCATCCTGGGTTATTTCTAATCAGTTTTTGTCCTGAAGGTGTCCCACACTATGAATAGATCAGCAAAGAACACTTCCTAGCAAAAATGCAACTCACATTGCTAACAGAGTTGAGGTATGGGGACTTCAGATTATTCCTTCATTCCTTTACAACATACCAGGCACTGGCTAGCTATTAGAAAAAGAGAAGAAGGAAATCTGCTGGCCTCTATTCTCACACAGTCCATGGAACTCAATCCACCCATGGAATTCACTCACAAATACTAAACTTACCTCCCTGTGCTCTGTGCCTCATCCTACACAATCATGTTCAATGCTTACATACCCATACTTGGCAGCTGCTACCATGTATCCCCACCCCCACTTGCAAATGGCTCCTGGGACCTATGTTCTACTACCTCTCCCTACATGCTGCCACATTCACTACTCCATCCTAGCTCTCCTAACCTTCAGTCTCCTTTATTTTGAGTTTTCAAATGTCCTGGTCTATCTCTGTGCTCCAGTCCCTGACACCAAAGTTGCTGACTAGAGTTCATAGATTTCAATTACACTAAGTAACATTGTTGATGCTTCCAGCCCCCAGCCATAATCCTGAGTCAAGAACAAAGAATGATCAAAGAATTACCTTTACAGAGAGAGCTGCAGAATCTCAGAAGAAACCACTGAGGAATGTTAACAGTACATTGATTTATGAAGTAGGAGGAGGAAGAGGAAGAAAGGAGGAGGAAGAGGAGGAGGAAGTGGAGGAGGAGGAGGAGGAGGAATCCTTTTGAGAAAGAACTTTAGAAAATTCTGTACTATCTACCTTCTTGTATTCTTCTCAAGCAAAAGGGAGCTGAACTATAGCCATGAACATATGATCCTACAAAATAATATTTTATTAAATGAACCCCAAGAAAAGGAAACATGAGATTTTTTCAGTTGCTATTGTTGCTATTTTCATCTTCATTTCATATTGTTGCTTCATTTTCTTTTGTCTTGTTTGTTAGTTTGTCTTTAGGAGGGTAAAGTAGGCACAAAAAGGGCAGAACAAAAGGTGAACAAATACAACAGGGGTACTCGCTTGACACTATGTGGAAAATGAACTGTGCATCTTGTGAGTGAGGATGGGAGGGAAAAACTGGGAGAGAAAGAAGGAAGGGAAGACATGGTTCAAAAAGAATTACAGGGCTGGGAAGGTGGCTCAGTGGTAGAGCGCTTGCCTTGCATGCATGAGGCCCTGGGTTCGATTCCCCAGCACCACATAAGCAGAAAGAAAAAAGCCAGAAGTGGCGCTATGGCTCAAGTGGTAGAGTGCTAGCCTTGAGCTGAAGAACTGAGGGACAGCACCCAGGCCCAGAGTTCAGGCCCCACAACTGGAAAAAAAATAAATAAAATAAAAAGAATTACACTCATTACCTGGCTCAGGTAACTGTGACCCCTCTGTAGATCACCTCTACAATAACAATAAAATATATTTTTAAAGGGAGCTGAAATTAGATTATGATATTAAGAGAGAACATGTACAAATTACAAGAAGTTTATCACAAGTCCAGATGGGTAACATTTTGCTGGTACTCAGAGTCTGGACCTGATGGCATGTTCTCAGATTTCCTGGATGCTGACGTTTAGAAATAGACATCAAGCTATTGTTTCTCAGCGCCTCCATTCAGTCAGTTTGACTTCATTCTCTTCATTTGTAAACTAAGGATGCCAAGACTAAGGATGCCAAGGACTAGTGAATCAATTAAAGAGTATCAGAAAGAAGATCAGATGAGAACATTTCTAAGCAAATTGTGGCTACCAGAATGCTCTAGGAAAGGTGTAAAGTTGTTATTCATTATCACTTATTGTCTCCTTTCTTGATTCAAACCCTTATTATAACAAGCATAAGATATGATATAGGAAACTTGACTCAAAATTCAGCAGACAAAAAACAATCAGCAGAGACAAACTGCAAACTGAGAGTCATCTCAAAGAGTCAAACAGGTTGCCTCATTCCTTAATGTGGGAAATAACAGAAAAATTCAAATTTAACAGATAAGATATCAACAATGAAGAAAATCTTACACAACCAGGTTGGCAGTTAAAAGACTTGAATAAGGTCCAGTTGTAGTCTCTTACTTAGACATTTTCCCTAATTAAAAAGTTCTGTAGCTGGGCACCAGTGATTCCTGCCTGTCATCCTAGCTACTCAGGAGGTTGAGATCTGAGGCTTTCAGTTCAAAGCCAGTGTGGGCAAAAAAGTCTATGAGACTCTTATCTCCAAATAACTACCAAAAAAATGCTGAAAGTGGAACTGTGGCTCTAGTGGTAGAGCACCAGCCCTGAGGAAAAAAACCTAAGAGACAACGCCCAGGCCCTGAATTCAAACCCAAGACTGGCACCAAGAAAAAAAATCTGCAGGATTTCTGAAATACCCATTGAAATGCTGACATCTGTAAAGACGGATCCCAACATTCTGCATATTGCACCCACTATAGCACCAAACTCACCTGCAGGGGGTCTGTGTCTTGCTCACTGCCTTCTTGGTGACTCTCTGGAGTCAGAAAGAGAAAGTGTGTGTGTGTGTGTGTGTGTGTGAGAGAGAGAGAGAGAGAGAGAGAGAGAGAGAAAGAGAGAGAGAGTTGTTCTGCCTTCTAAATGATCCCAGCCCTACTGTCTGGCTTCTTGAATGAAGAACATGTTAACTCCATTGTCCTTCATTTCCTTAATACTACAATAACTTGATGATCTCTTCCATGAGTGTTGACTAGAGAGCCAAGCTTCAAAAGAACCAATTCCCTCCAAGTCTCAAGCTGGAAAAATTGGCCTTGGCCCAGCAATTCAAACACTGTCTTAGTCCTCTGAGACCCTGCTCTAGAGGTTTCTAGACCCACTGAGTGTGGCCCAGGGCCAGGACAGGGAAACACAGAAAGGTGGACAAAGTCTGCCCTATATTCAGAACCAGTGGCCACAAGCTTCACAGCTTTCCAAGGTCAAATGTATCATCCAAATAAGCAACCCACTGCTCCATCTCAGGGGCATGCAGGAATTCACTCCCACTCAGATTTCTGCTGTTGGGTTTTTGGTTTTGTGTTTTTTGTTTTTGTTTTTTGTTTTTTATTGTGAAAATACTGTACAGAGGGGTTATAATTACATGAGCAAAGTAATGAGTACAATTCTTATCAAGCATTGTTGCCTCTTCCTTTGTTTCCCCTTCCCATCCCTTCCCCTCTCCCCGCCACCCCCCCCATCCCCACCCCCAGGCCAAAGTTGTAAAGTTTGTTTTCGACATAATGTCTTGTACATCTCATTGTTGCAATGGGTCCACCTGTATCTCTATTTAAACAATTTGCTTTTTTCCTTTCCCTCCACAAATCATACCAACATCAAATGTCTGAGACAAGCAGAAACAGTCAGATAAGTTGATGTTAGACAAAATGAACCCCAAGATAAGGACTCAAATGTTTTTTCTTTCTTGCTATTGTTCCTAGCATATTTATAAGATGATTTCTTTGTTGCTTTGTATGTCCCTCCCCCAGGGACTGTATTCTGCTGTTGGTTTTGTCCCCCCTCTATGCACAATATTCAACCTCAATCTTCTATTGCCTGCAAATGCTATTTTCTCACTTAAGAAACAGAACTGAAAACAGCGCCTACCTCTATGCTGCTTATATGGACAAAATGAGACCTTGGCACATGGTACTTGATATTGGCATTGGTGATTGGTATTACGCATTTGTTGTCAATTCCTTGTCCACGTCAGCATCATTCTTTCCATTCTTGCAACTGTTGTCTGATCAGCACCAGTTCTCTGGGCTGCTGCCTTCCTCCCTTCAGCACCTGAACCCCTGGTGGAGGATCCAACCCAAGGCTATGATAAAGTATAATGACAATAATGGAATCCTAAACCCTAGTAACAAACACAGGTACTCTTGATGCTCATGAGCCACACTACATACCAGGAAGCCTCCAGATTTTTTTTTTGCATTTAGGCTACTTCCCATCTTCCAGTTCTCTTCCTCCAACTAGAGCCCTTATACATTGTCTGACCCGGGCCCCTTGAAGCAAGTCAGACCTCGTGAACATTATTCTAACTTTACTGCCCTGGCAGTCACTTACTACCATCTATGGCTAACACATAATCGATTGCCAATTACCAAGAACTTCTTTGCCTTGATTTTTTTCCTTTTCAGAGAGATTTAAAACCTTATCTTCCCAATCTTCATAAAAAAATCAAAGCCTTATGAAAAAACTTGCCTGAAAGACGCAAAGAATCGCTAACTCTGAACCTGCATTCTACCATCACTCTTACTGTATCATGTCTTTTTTTAATGTTTTTAATTTTTTATTGTGAAAATACCATACAGAGGGGTTACAATTACATGGCAAGGTAATGAGTACATTTCTTATCAAGCATTGTTGCCTCCTCCTTTGATTCCCCTTCCCCAAAAGTCCTTTTTAGCTCTCTATCCTAATGATCTCCTCCTTGAGTACTCAATGGGTCTCTTCCCTATATGAATGACTTTTTCAACATTTTCACTCTCAAATGATGCCCTATCAGGCATGGCTCAAATACTAAAGTAACACGTGGCTCAAATACAAAGCAATTGTACATCTCACCCACTAGAATAGTTATATAAAAATGGGGTAAAAGTAATTGTAAGAATGTTATGATATTGGCATTGTCCAAAAAGAAATGTACTCTTTACCTGACTTAGGTAAATGTAACCCCTCTGTACATCACCTTTATGACAGATGCTAACGATACTATGGTCGATAAGGCAATGAGGGTCACTGCTCTCAAGGAGCTTAAATCTGGTTGGAGAGACAAAAGAAGCAAGGAGCCTCAGTTACACACTATTGGTCCATTAATGTAATGGAAATGGTGGGTAATCAAGCAATAACATTTCATCTTCTTTATGTACCTCTATGGCTAAAATGTTTTCACTTACACACATTTATAATTTATCTATATGTGCCAGTTAACAGATACTTGATATATTTTAAATATATCAAAATTTTCAAGAGTGAAAAATATGAAATTAAACACATTAAGCACATTGTAAACTTATGGCTTTCAACTTTATATGACAGGGCAGAGTGGATATTCTGAATTAGATTTATCAATGTGTGCATTGATAAATTACTGTTGTTTTGGATTTAGTTATTGTAGGGTGTGTGTGTGTGTGTGTGTGTGTGTGTCTGTATCTGTGTGTGTGTGTGTGTGTGTGTGTATGTGTGTGTTCAGGTCCTGGGGTTTAAACTCAGGACCTACACGCTGTCCCTGAGCTCAAGGATAGCACTCTACCACTTGAGCTACAGCTCCACTTCTGCTTCTTGTTGTTGTTGTTGTTAATGAGAAATAAGAGTCTCGGGGACTTTCCTGCTTGAGCTGGTTTCAAAGAACGATGCTCAGATCTCAGCCTCCTGCGTAGCCAGAAATACAGATATGAGCCTGCTTTTTCCTGCTTTTGTGGGAAAAAATTAAAACCTATATCCATTGTGTGAAAGTTAGTTTAAACAAAATAGTACAATAAAGTTATTAAATGGCATTCATATATACTACAGCTCACTAAAATATACCAAAATTTAGCAAAGAATTGAGCCAATCCTTATGAAATTTTCCACAATGTAGTCCTTCCACACCTCTTTCTAAATATCTCAAATAACTGACAAGGTAACAAGCCTGCTGATTTCAGTCCAACTGGAGATTCCTGTGGCCCTACTCTAACCCTCAGGCATAGTGAAGAGAGTTCACTGAATGTCAGGGTGCACCTGTATCCCTGTC